CTCAATAGCCTTGAAGGCTGAGGTTAGTAATAGTTCATAAATATTAACTAATTAACTAGGCTGAGGTTAATAATAGTTCATAAATATTAATTAATTAACTAGGTAGTTTGTGCTGTAATTAGAGGATGAAACAAGTCACTGCATCACTGGAAGCATTCCTGCTAAGACTGGAGTTGGGATCCCAGGGAATTATGAAGGAGTGTCCCCCACGCAGAACATTTGCAGAGCAGGATAAAGCAGGTGGAATTGCTGATTCCCAAGAGGAAGAACGGGGAAGGAAATGTTGGAATCACTGTTTGGATGTGAGGCCCTGGGGATGCTGCTCAGGGAGCTCTGCCTCCCTCCAGCCCCGCTCTGGGGTGATTCTGGCAGAAGTCTCAGACTAAAAGCTTTCAGTGGTATTAAAATTAAGCTGAGCTCAACTCAGCTAAAGTCTAATGACAAAACTGTCCTGTTGAAGGTTCATTTTTCATTTTAAGGACCTCAGAAACCCCAGAGCTCTGAGCTCCCTATTCCAGCAGCCACCTCAGAACCTCGGGAGAGTTTCCTTTGTTTCCCTTAAAATCGCAGCAGTTCCTTTCCTGATCACTCCACAAGGACTGCAGCTTTTGTTTAAACACACAGAGATTTCATGTGAATAAAAGGAACCCTAAAAGTGCAAACACTGGGAATTTAGAAGCCTCTTTTTAATTTTAGACCTTTGATTTTTTTGTCTTCAACTCTTGGCACTGTGTTGAATGCCAGTATCAGAAATACAGACAAGGGAGGTACAGCCTGAACTTTGCTTTGGAAAAGAGGAATTTTATGGACTAGGGGAGAAGGAGAGTTCTGTAGCCACAGTGAGCTGGCTCATTTTTTGGGATGGGGATATTTCCAAGAGGTTCCCATATAGATCCTCTGGTGCTGAAGCTGTTGATGTGGCCCTTGGGGACAGGGTTTGGGGTGATGCTGGTGGTGCTGGGGTGGCACTGGGTGATCCTGAAGGGCTCTTCCCACCTTCATGATTCTGGGATACACCAAGCACTCCAAGGCTCTCTATCCTTGTTTCCTCCTCTTCCTCAAAAAATAAACTGGACTGAATTTTCTTTTCTTCTTTCAAATGTGTTTTTAATCATAAAACCTTTCTGTGCCCAAGGAAGGGCTGGATGGGCTTTTCCAGCCTCAGGATCCTGGGATTCTGGGATTCATTCAGAATTCGAGGTCCCCAGCTGGTTTCTGAAGGAGAAACTGCAGCAAAGCTGAGCTGCTGTCTCCCCCCAGTGACAGCAGATTTTTCCTGTTCGAATTGTGGCACACGGGATTCCCAAAGGTAAAATCACCTGGAAGCTGTGACAGCACAGGTCAAACTCCCCATGGAATATCAGGGAACAGGCACTGGTTCAGTTTGGGAAAGGACAGGACTGGACAAGACCAATTCTTTTCCTGGAAATCACTGGATATTCCCCATGCCAAGATCTGGGAATATCTGAGCTCTGATGCTGCGCTGAGATTTAGGAATGGCCTCACACAGGAGGAAGGCTTGGGATAAATGGGATATTGGGAGAAAATTCCTGGCTGTGAGGGTGGGCAGGGGCTGGGATGGAATTGCCAGAGCAGCTGGGGCTGCCCCTGGATCCCTGGCAGTGCCCAAGGCCAGGCTGGACATTGGGAGCTCCTGGGACAGTGGGAGGTGTCCCTGCCATGGCAGGGCTGGAAATGAGATAATCCTTAAAATCCCTTCCACTCTGGGATTATAAAAATCAGGCTGGACCAGATTTGAAATCTTTTACCTGCAAAGATTTTTCTGATTTGGCTGCAGAGGCAAAAATGTGATAATTTGCAGGATTTCTGAGGAGACTCCTCACAGCTCCTTCCCTCATATTCAGGGGCAAGAAAAGAGCATTAATTCCCTTCTTGCACATCTTTTCCAGGGATGATTTTAAGCCAGACTTGATTGCTTTGGGTGCCCTGTGGCTTTGGTGGTAAATTGAGTTGTAAAGGGAGATTGTGTCCCTTTGTTTCTCCTCACAGAGCAGAAGTTGAAAAGATAAATTAAAATCCCTTCCTCATTATTATTTTTTTCTAGAAAAATTTACTCTGGAGAGCCTAAAAACTCCAGATTTGGGCTAATATCCAAAATGAACCAGTGATTTCACAGAGCCAAGCCAATGGTGTCACCAGACCTGACAATTCCCTGGAGGTTTGGGGAGTGGTTCCAGCAGAATTCCCATGTTTCCCTCAGGAAAGGTGGGCACCAGGCTGTTCTCACTGGCACCACAGGTATTGAATTCAATTCCCCCCCAGTTCACCTTGGCATGCCCAGGTGAGTGTTGGGAACAGAGGGGAAGTGCTGGATTCCCTGGGATTCTGGGAATTCTTGAGCCTGGCAGCCCTGGGGCTGCTGGAGCAGGGTATTTTTCCAGGATACAGCAGGATACTGCACAGCAGGACGTTTCTCTGTGCTGGGAATGGGTTTCTGCACTGCTGTTGTTCTCCAGTCTCCAAGGAGACAGCAGGAAAAGTGAGATTTTAACACCCCTGCAGTTCCAGGGAGTGATTCCAGCAGGGCTGGAGCCCCCTGAGCATTCCCTGAGCTCCCACTCAGGTGAGGCCCAGAGCTTCTCCAAGGGCTCTCCAGCCTCCTCTTCCCTCCTCTCCCCTGGCAAGTTTCTGCTTCTCCTTAAATCCCAGAAGGGTCTAGGAAGTGCTTTGGAATGGGAATGCGAAGGCAAAGGTACCTGAGGCACTGCCACACCTGAGCCTTTATTGCTGTATTTCTGTATTTCTCTTGGTTAACCTAAATCTGCTCTGGAGCCAGGCTGGGAGAGCTGGGAATGCCCAGGCTGGAGAAGGAGAAACTCCAGGGAGAGCTCAGAACTCCTTCCAAAGCCTGAAGAGGCTCCAGGAGAGCTGGAGAGGGACTGGGGCCAAGGGCTGCAGGGCCAGGAGCCAGGGAATGGCTTCAGAGTAGGATTTGATGGGATCTTGGGCAGGAATTGTTCCCTGGCAGGGTGGGCAGGGGCTGGGATGGAATTGCCAGAGCAGCTGGGGCTGCCCCTGGATCCCTGGCAGTGCCCAAGGCCAGGCTGGACATTGGGAGCTCCTGGGACAGTGGGAGGTGTCCCTGCCATGGCAGGGCTGGGAATGGGTGATTTTAGGTCTCTTCCAGTCCAAAGCATTCCAGGATTCCATGCCCAAGTTCTCCAGGATCAGCCCAGGCAGGAAGAGCTGCCCCCAGGCTGCGCAGAAAACAGAACCAAGGAGATTTCTCAGGATAAACCTCCTCTCATGGAACTTCCTTAAGGTGACACTGTGATTTCCACGGATCCAAGGAAGTCCTGGATGCACAAAGTGCCTGGAAAAGCTCCTCTCCTGGGTTTGTCCACCTGGATTCCATGCTGACCCCACAGCCTGACCCTTGCAGGAAGCAGCAGCAAAAGCTGCACTGAGCCTTCTCCACTTCTGCCTCTCCATGAACTTTGGAGCCTCCCAGGATGGATCCAGAGCATTTTCCTCCTCAATTTTTCTCTCCAGAGTGTTTTCCTCTTCCTTCCCAGCCACCTCCTTGCAGCTGATCTTTCCCAAGTGCCTCCCCTACAGTTCCAATCCTTTGAGGAAGCAGCACCCAAGTTCATTTTTTTATTTTTAATTTTTTAAATAAAAGCTTTTTTATTGCATAAATAGAGGCTCACACGCTTTGCTGCACATATAAAAACTGAGATAATTTAAGTGTCACCCTGAGGTTACACATCCTTCTTTTCCAGGAAGGCTTCATCCTCCTGGGAAAGGAATCCAAGTGTCAGGAACCTGCAGGGTGGGAAGAGAGCAGTGAGAAGAGCAGGCACAAGAGGGAGAGCACAGGGGCTCCAAATGGGCACCTCTGGAGCTGTTCCCTGCTCCATGGGGGAATTCCTCCCTCTTAATCCCAGGATTTAGGAAGGACAGAGCCTCTGCTGGGCAGCTCTGGGTGCTGGGACGGGAATTGCTGTGGAATCAGAGAGGTTTTAACACCGGTTGTTGTCACCTGCTGGGCACTGAGGTTTTGTGTGATGATCCTGGTGCAGAAATCCCTGGAGCTCTGGGGTTTGCCAGACAGAATTCCCTGGGATAACAGTGCCCAGAATCCCAGAATCCCAGAATCCCAGGCTGCTTTGGGTTGGAAGGATCTTCAAGCTCATCCCAGCCACCCCTGCCATGGCCAGGGACACCTCCCACTATCCCAGCTTGCTCCAAGCCCTGTCCAACCTTTCCTTTTCCAGGGAAGTGGCCAAAATCTGCCCCAAATCAAGTCCTGAATCTGCTGGGAACAGGAGACTGAAAAACCCCTTTGGTTTTTTGGTTTTTGTTTTGTTTTTTCCTGTGTAAACAAAAAAAACCCTTCGTTCCCATGGTTATTCCCAGGGCCTCATTTCTAGGCACAATTCCCAATCCTTAGGAATAAAGGGAATAAAACAAATAAAACAGGGAATAAAACAAAAGGAATAAAACAGTGACAGGGTGGAAATAAAATCAAGGAAAGATTTTAAGAACTGAAAAGTGTCTTTAGAAGGGAGGGGATGACCTCAGAAAGGGAAAGAAGAATTTATTTCAATAAAGAGCAACATGACATCAAACTCCCACTGAGCTTCCAAAGGGCAGGCAGGAATAGAATTCCCATTTTGCTGCAGAAGAGGGAGAAGTGAAGCAAACTGCTCCAAAAAAACGACAAGCAAGGCAGGGAACAGAATCCAAGCAGCAGGCAGGACTCATTCTGCTCATGGATTTGCTCCAAGGAAGCAGGGATTGTTTCAGCTTTGGAAACAGAAGGGAGGAACTTGGGAATTTCAGAATGAAAATCCCAAATTTAGGGAAATTTGCAATGTTCATTTTGCTATTTCAAGCAGAAGAACGTGCATTTTTCTCAGGGAATTCTACATGGTGGATGTTCCATGGCATAACCTGTCCCTTTGGGAATTCCAGGTGTGGAATTTGCCCTTCCCAGCTAAACCACCCCCAAGCTGTCAATAATTCCACTCATCTAGAAAGGCTGATTATTTTCTCTCTTTATTTTGTGCCTTGAGGCCCAGAGTTCTGATTGTAGCATCCTGCCTGGCTGCTCCCCTGCAGTTATTCCAAATTTATCCCCCCTCTTTGTGAATCAGGCATGGAAATCCAGGGAGATAAAAACAGAGAGGGAATATTGTGCTAAAATATCCTCAAACAGGACAGTGGTTCATGCAAGTCCCACAAAGAATGAGTCCCAAATATTCCAAGAGCTCATCATATTCCAATTTCACATTCCAAATCAATCCCACTGGGAGGAACAAGGGCATCCTCAAAGCCCAGGAACTGAGATCAATTCCACACCTGAGGGACTCTTCACTCATCCTTCTTCTCTGCTTCCGCTTTCAGCTTCTCTTCTCGTTCCCTCTTCAGTTTCTCCTCGATTTTCTTGCTCTGGTACATTTTGACTCCAGCAAAGGCCAAGCAAAGGATCAATGTTTTAGCTGCCAAAATGTACATCAGCAGTGGGAAGTTCTCCAGAGCCTGGAATGTCAGAGGATCTATTTAGGCACTTCTGGAACACTTGGATAATTAAAAGTGAATTTATAGGGATGTTCTGCATCTTCTATTCCAATAGTAACACTCCTCTCTCTGCATGGTTTCTATTTCTGTGGGAAGTTAAACCAGGCAGAGCAACAAAGCCAAAGAAAAATCCCCTTCCCTCAAGTCCTGAACTCCTTTTTACTCATTTCCCAGCAATATTTGTGCCATCTGGAGCTGAAAAAAGGGAAGAACTGAGTATTTTAGGGAAATTGTGAAAGTGGAAATGCTGCTGAAGGATCCTTACAAGTGATGGGATCCCCAGAAACACTCTAGGAAATCTTAATTTGTAGCAATTTTGTAATGAACCTGCTCAGATGTGGAAGGTGCAGATAAATGCCTTTAAACTGGGAGAAAAGTAAAACATCCACAGCTTCCAAGGGTTGTTGTACCAGTGCTGAACGCCTGGAACTGCAGAGAGTGTTTCAGTGCTATAAAAACAGGAACTCGGAGAGGAAAATCCAATGGAAATGGGAGGTGGGCACTGAGGGAAGGGGTGGGATTGTTGGGGTGTCTGTGCAGGGCACTGGGTGATCCCTGTCCCTTCCCATCAGGATATTCCATGGTTCTGTGGTAACTCTGTGAACTTGGAATTCACCCTGTTCCCCCAGGATCTCCCAAAGCTGTCAGGACACCATCAAAGCACTGAATTTGGGCCAAGCCTTGTGTCCAGACACCAGCAGGGAGTTTGGAAAAACACCACCAGGCTTTGTCCATCTCCCCACATTCACAGCAGCAACAGCTCTGAGTCCAACACCACGGCAGGGGAGGCAGGGCTGGGGGAAAGTTTAATTTAATGTGTTCAAATTGTTAATTACAGAGTCATGGAATGCTTTGGATTGGAAGGGATTTCACAGCTCATCCAGTTCCACAGGCAGGGACACCTTCCACTAATCCCAGGTGCTCCCAATGTCCAGCCTGGCCTTGGGCACTGCCAGGGATCCAGGGGCAGCCCCAGCTGCTCTGGCAATTCCATCCCAGCCCCTGCCCACCCTGCCAGGGAACAATTCCTGCCCAAGATCCCAAGATCCAGCCCTGCCCTCTGCCACTGGCAGCCATTCCCTGGCTCCTGGCCCTGCAGCCCTTGGCAATTGTCTCTCTCCAGCTTTCCTGGGGCTCCTTCAGGCCCTGCAAGGCCACCCTGAGCTCAGCCCAAAGCTTCTCCTGGCCAGGCTGAACAATGGCAGCTGGGCCAGCCTTTCCTGCCAGCAGAGCTGCTCCATCCCTCTGCTCATCCTGGAGCCTCCTCTGGGCTCTCTCCAGCAGCTCCATGCAGCTGCTCCAGCACTGTGGTGCCTGACACAAAACCCTGCAGAGCTCTCATGGCCCCAAAACCCAAAAAAATACAGTGCAGAAATTCCCCTCCAGTTACAAAAGCAGCTGAGGGAAGAGCAGCCAGAGAAAAACCTGGAAAGAGGAAAGGCAGGAGGAGCAGGGATGAGCAGAGCTCTGGTGAATTTATGTGGAATTATTTCCCAACAGCAAATCCTGGAGCAAGCACATCTGGCAAGGGAGGAAACAACAACAAATCCCCTGTCCCTGAGAGTGTGGGGGCCAAACAACCCTCCCCTGGGAGAGGAATCATCAGAACCCACCCAACACATCCCACGTGGAAAGAGCAGCCATCCCTGCTTTGGGAATGTGCACCAGCCTCACCTTCCAGTTAAAGGCCACCATCTCGGCTGTGGGGTGCTCCAGGACTGGGGGGGTCACACTCCTGGAGGCACAGGGCAGGGCAGGAGCATCTTGGAGAAATGGGAAAGAAAGAAAGAAAGCAGAATGAACTCTTGGAGAAATGGGAAAGAAAGAAAGAAAGCAGAATGAACTCTTGGAGAAATGGGAAAGAAAGCAGAATGAACTCTTGGAGAAATAGAAATTAAAAGAGAATTAGGCAAGCTGCTGCTGAGCTCACCCTGCCCCTCTGAGGGCTCGTCCCCAGCAACCCCCAGTGACCTCCAGGGCCTTTCTGGGGCTGAGTGACAGGAGCAGGACAGGGCTTTGACAGTCCCAGAGCAGGTGCTGGGGCTGGAATTCCACATCCTGACATGGAGAACACGGCTGCCTGTGGAAGCTGGAGCTGTGTGTGCTCCCCCTGCCCGGCTGTGCTGGGACCTGAGGGACACAGAGCTCCACAGGAGCTGCCTTGGGGGCTCTTTGGGGGTTCTCTGGGTGTTCTTTGGGGGTTTCTAAGCCCACCTGCTCTGTTTGGAGCCTGAACATCTAATTAATCCTCTAATTTATCAGTCCTCTGTGGTTGATTAATTTAATTCTCCATACTAACAGTTTATAAACATTGAGGTTAGCAGAGCAGGCACTCCCTGGAGCCCTGAGTGGTCGCCAACCATTCCAGAGCTGAATTCCTGGGATGAAAAGCCTGCTGGAGGCTGCAGCACACACAGCACTGCCCTGGGCTCTCTGCTCCACCTCTTCAGCTGCTGGAATCCAAATTAAACCCTGGAGGCTTTTCCTGTCCATGGAACAAGAGTGGGAAAGCGGGAGGGAACACTCCAGCACGGTGAAAAGCTGGGCTGAATAAATCAGCACTGCACCAGAGAGCTGCTGTTGAGCTTCCTGCAGAAATTAAATGTTCTTGCAGCTCCTGTCCTGCTCAGCTTCTGGGTAGAAGTTCTAATTTCTCCAGCCAGAGGATCCTCTCCTCTCCTCTTCCCTCCCACCCTGCTGAGACCCCTCTGGAAACATTCCAGCTCCTCCAGAGATCTCTGTGACAAAATCCAACTGTACCAGAGCCCTGGAGTGGCAGCCACCAGCAAATTCCTGTTCATCAGTCACTATTTCTGTGCTGATCCTGACTGTGCAGCTCCTTATCCTGCTGGGAAAATGTCAGGGTGGTCATTACACCTCCAGAAAAAATATATTTTCACTTCATGGAATCATGGAATGGTCTGGGTTGGAAGGAATCTTGAAGATCATCCAGTGCCATGGCAGGGCCACCTCCCACTGTCCCTGCTGCTCCCAATGTCCAGCCTGGCCTTGGGCACTGCCAGGGATCCAGGGGCAGCCCCAGCTGCTCTGGCAATTCCATCCCAGCCCCTGCCCACCCTGCCAGGGAACAATTCCTGCCCAAGATCCCAAGATCCAGCCCTGCCCTCTGCCACTGGCAGCCATTCCCTGGCTCCTGGCCCTGCAGCCCTTGGCAATTGTCTCTCTCCATGTTTCCTGTAACCCCAAAATGTTTCCCAGAGCTGACACCTGTGCTGCTGTGTCCCCACAGTGTCCTGTGCAGCTGGAACTGAGTGGGAATGGCACTGCTCCCTCCAGGCTCTATTCCCACATCCACCAGCCTCCAGTGGCCAAGCACTTCTCCCCATCTCATCTCTTGGCTTTTCCCGTCTCCATCTGATCCCAGCACTTACCAAATCCAGCTGAAACCTCAGCATTGAAAAAAGCAGGAGAAGCTGCAGCACAGGGAAAGGAGAACAAAGTGGGAAGAGTGGAGAAAATGGGAAAAGGGGCAGATTTTGCCCAGAGCAGCTGTGGCTGTCCCTGGATCCCTGGAAGTGTCCAAGGCCAGGCTGGACATTGGGGCTTGGAGCAGCCTGGGATTAGTGGAAGGTGTCCCTGCCTGTGGAACTGGATGGGCTTTGAAATCCCTTCCAATCCAAACCATTCCAGGGTTCCCTTCACATTTAAAAAACACCATTTATGAGTGCTGAGGTCATCAGTGCAACAGCAAAAAGCTCTGACACTGCTTTTTCAAGGTTGGGATATCTTAAAAGCCCGAAGGCAAACAAACAGCTGGAATTCTGTGTTTGCCTTTCCCGAGGAGATAAGGCACAGATAGGAGCTGGGAACACATCCACAGGCAGGCATTGTTCCTTCCCCAGGAAAATGCAGGCAAACACAGGGCCTGGGCCCCACACAAGGGCACTGCTCCCTCCCCTCACCTGCAAGGAGCTCCCGTGTGCAGCCATGTGAGGAGGGACAGCAGCACCAGGCTCTGCCAGATATTCCCTGACAGCTGCTCCACAAGCTGGGATAAAATGGCACCAGGCTCACATGGATTGCCTGGGACTGCAGCTGCCAGGCTGCTCACTCCCAGCTCTCCCCTGGAGTTTTATTCCTTAACAAATGGGAGCTGGTTGTCCTGCCAGGCTGCTGTGGCCATGAGCAGAGCCATCCCACTGGGGCTGCCCCTGGATCCGTGGAAGTGTCCCAGGCCAGGCTGGATGGGGCTTGGAGCAGCCTGGGACAGTGGGAGGTGTCCCTGCCATGGCAGGGGTGGCACTGGAGGGGCTTTGAGGTCCCTCCCAACCCAAACCACTCTGGGATTTTGGGATTCTGGGATGTGTGCAGCCTTGTCCCAGGGAGTTGAAGCAGATCAGACGCCTGCAGATGAGAAAGAGGAGAGGGTGTGATCCCACCTCAGAGCTGTGCCAGCAATTCCCAATGAACCCCAAATCCTCTGGGATCCTCTGCATGCACAGCAGGCAGCGAGGTTGTGGCTCATTCCCTGCACCACATCCCAGAGCTTGGGATTAGCCCCAATTCCAGCCCCAGGATCTCTGCCCAGCTCTGCCTTGTGCAGCACAGCCCCACAGCTGGGCCCCAGGCACGAGGGAGGCCTGTGGAGCAGAAGGAATTGCACCCCAGCCCCTGGATTGCAGCTCCAGCCCTGCACAGGAACCCAGCCCAGGCTCTCAGGGCATTGTCTGCAGAGCAGGACAGCCCCGAGGCACCACATCCACACAACATCCTCAGCATCCAAACCCTCTGGAGGTGTCCTGGCTGCACATCTCGGCCTGCCTGCCAAGAACTCCATCATTCCCACAAAACAGGGCTGGAGACATTCCTTTGGGGATTGCTGAACAACTCCAGCCACGAGGCCTTGGAAAGCACAGAGCTACTGAGTGATCTGAGTGCATTTAAATGTGACATTTCTGAGCTAGAAAAGGGGTGTCACTCACCAAGGCCAGGCTGGATGGGACTCTGAACAACTTGGAAGGTGTCCTTGCTCATGGCAGGCCTTGGAATGAAATGATCTTTAAAGTCCTTTCCAACCCAAACCTGATTCTGATTTTGGATCAACTCAAGGTTCCAACTCAAGCAACATCAAAATAATTTTTAAAAAAATCAAGATCTTCATACCTGGTGAAGCAGAAATTAAAATATGAGTGATTCCTCTGGCAGCTTCTCACATACTCCAAACTCTGGAAGACAGGAACAGAGAAGATGGGGTGTTTTGTTCACATTGGTTGGATTAAAATCAAGCCAAACCCAGAAATGCCAGGGGCACAAGTCTGTTCCACCATGGCATCACCAGGGATCACAAAGATGATCCCAAGGTTGGAGCCTTTCTGCTCTGGGAACAGGCTGGGAGAACTGGGTTTGTCCAGCCTGGAGAAAGGAAAATTCCAGGGAGACCTTAGAGCCCCTTCCAGTGCTTAAGAGGGTTTATAAAAAGGAGTGAGAGGGACTTTTTATATGGGCAGAGAGTGCCAGGACAAGGGGCAATGGTTTTGAACTGCCAGAGGGCAGGGCTGGATGGGATATTGGGGAGGAATTGTCCCCCGGGAGGGCGGGGGGCCCTGGCACAGGGTGCCCAGAGCAGCTGGGGCTGCCCCTGGATCCAGCCCGGCTCTGTCCTGGGCTGGAGAACAAGGAAGGGACTGGGGAACAAGGACAGAGGGTGGAAAGCAAGAAAAGCAGGGGATGGAGAGCAAGGAAAGGGGATGGAGAGCAAGGAAAGGGGATGGAGAGCAAGGAAAGGGGATGGAGAGCAAGGAAAGGGGATGGAGAGCAAGGAAAGGGGATGGAGAGCAAGGAAAGGAGATGGAGAGAAAGGAAAGGGGATGGAGTGCACGGAAAGGAGATGGAGAGCAAGGAAAGGGGATGGAGAGCAAGGAAAGGGGATGGAGTGCACGGAACGGAGATGGAGAATAAGGAAGGGGGCTGGAGAACAAGGGGGGATGTCTCAAGAATAAGGAGGGGGGGGCTGAAGGGAAAGGAGGGGAGTGGAGAACAAGAACGGAGGGCCTGGAAAGGAAAGAAGGCAATGGAGGTAGGAAGGGGGCTGGTGAAGCAGGAGGGAGATGTGGATACCGAGAAAGGGGGCTAGAGAAAAGCGGTGGGAGAACTGGAGAGCAAGAGGGGGGACTGGAGATCAAGGAAAGCGGGGTGAGAAACACAGAAGGGACTGGAGAGAAGGAAGGGGGGGTGGAATAGATGGAAGCGGGGTTAGGAGAGAAAGGACGAAGCCCGGAGAGCAAGGACGAGGCCTGGAGAGCGAAGAGCGGGGGTGGAGAAGGGGCAGGGGCAGGCCGGGCAGGGCAGGGAGAGCAGGGAGGCTGCGGGGAGCGGAGATGCGGCTCCCCGGAGCCCCGCGGGGCCGTGAGGGGAAGGAAAGGGCCCGGGCCGCTCCTACCTCAGCGCGGCCATGGCGGGCGGGGGCGGCGCTCCCTCACGGAGCTCCCGGCAGCGCCGGGCCCGGCCGGGGCCGCTCCGCCCGCTCGGCTGCGAGTGCTCCGCTTTTCTTCCCCCGCATGAACAGCGCTGCGCTAAAGCAGCTAAAGCAGCTCCCGCAGGAACCGCGGCGACATCCCAGAGCCCCCCTACCCAGCGTGGGCAGCAGGAAAGGGATTGGGATTGTGCCCTGAGCCCCCTGAGGTGAGACCCCACCTGCAGAGCTGCCCCAGCCCTGGGACCAGCCCAGGGAGCAGCTGGAGCTGCTGGAGAGAGCCCAGAGGAGGCTCCAGGGATGCTCTGAGGGCTGGAGCCAGGCTGGGAGAGCTGGGGGTGCTCAGCTGGACAGGAGAAGCTCCAGGGAGAGCTCAGAGCCCCTTGCAGGGCCTGAAGGGGCTCCAGGAGAGCTGGAGAGGGACTGGGGCCAAGGGCTGCAGGGCCAGGAGCCAGGGAATGGCTTCAGAGTAGGATTTGATGGGATCTTGGGCAGGAATTGTTCCCTGGCAGGGTGGGCAGGGGCTGGGATGGAATTGCCAGAGCAGCTGGGGCTGCCCCTGGATCCCTGGCAGTGCCCAAGGCCAGGCTGGACATTGGGAGGTGTCCAGGTTGCTCCAAACCCTGTCCAGCCTGGCCTTGAACATTTCCAGGAATGGAATGGAGAGTCCACAGCCTCTCTGGGCAACTTGCGCCAGGGCCTCACCACCCTCATACTAAAGAATTTCTTCCTAACATTTGACATAAACCTGCCCTCCTTCAACTGAAGGCCATTGTCCTGTCAATACATTAATATGTGAGAAGTCCCTCTCCAGCTCTCCTGGAGCACCTTTAGGCCCTGGAAAGGCCTCTGAGCTCTCCTTGGAGCCTTTTCTTCTCCAGGTGAACACCCCCAGCTCTCCCGGCCTGGCTCCAGAGCAGAGGAGCTCTGTGGTTTCCTCTGGCCTCTCCAGCAGCTCCACATTTTCTGGTGTTGATCCAGAGGCAGCTCTGAAGAGCAGAGGAGAGGAGAATCCCTTCCTTCAGCCTCCTGCTTGTGCTTCTCTTGCACCTCCAGCACATCTGGAGTGTGATGGTATCAGCTCAAATCTCAAGACCTGTGTCCAGGACAAGCCAAAGGTTCCCGAAGAAAAACCCTTCGTAATTTAATATTTAACAGGAGTGAAAATAGGAGTCAGATCACTAAAAAGGAGTTGGGAGTGAATGTGTGTGCAGGTGTCAGGTCCCTCCTGTGATTCATTCCCTAATTGGTTGTTCAGTCAATCCGTGGAGATTGATGATTTTACTGGACATTTTAAAGTTGTTTTTTTTTTTAAAGTGGGCTTGAGTCACAGAGTTTGGGTCTAAATTGTCACTTTTGACCACAAATTCACAGTTATTCTGAGGTGAGAACCTCCACATCTACTTGTGGATTTAAAAAAAATGCTCAAATAATCAAGTTATCCTTGTCTTGGCTTTATTTTCCTAAAGGACAGAAGATCAAATCATAGATTTTTCTTGGACTTTCCCAAGATCCTCACGGGAACCACCACATCGGTTTCCTCAGGACTCCATTATCCTGTGTGTTAATTTAGTCAACACTTCCACAGCTCTTTGGAATTCCAGTGAGTTGCCTCTGTGTGACTCTGTGAATCCCTCGCTGCTGACATTCCCAGAAAGTCAGGGTGATTCCGGGTTTGTTTTATCCCTCGCCCCCAGGTTTTCATGGATCACACACTTGAGATCTTCTGGATTCAGAACCTGGTTTTTGTACTTCTCTCCCCAGTCCTCCACGATGTACTGGTGATAGGGATCGTTGGAGTGCTCCCTCCTCTTGGATTTCACCGTGCTCACCAGGATGGCCACGATGATGAAGGAGAACATCCCAATCATCACCATCAGATAGAGGATAACGTAGTCAAAGTTTTCAGCAGCCACCTCAGCCTGCAGTTTATTCGCTGCTTCTGTCATGTTTCTCCTCCAGCTGTTCATATAATTGAGGAAAGTGTCCTTGAAAATGTCTTCCACTGCCCAAGTGAAGTTTTGCAGCTTGGCCATCCTTGACAATTATGCTGCTAAATTCAAGAAAATATTCTTTTTAATCAGATGTCTGTATTAAAAGAGTTGGTTTGGAGTATTTTGTCAGTGTTATGACAATTATCCAATAACAGTCACCCTCTGACACTTGAAGGTGCAGTTCTAGCTCAGCAGAGAATCCCCATCTCTGGGTGGTTCAATATGTTCAGAGACCCAGGAAGGTCCTACTCAGAATCCTGGAGTGGTTTGGGCTGGAAGGGACCTTAAAATCACCCATTCCAACACAAACCATGGGCAGAGACACCTCCCACTGTCCCAGGAGCTCCCAGTGTCCAGCCTGGCCTTGGGCACTGCCAGGGATCCAGGGGCAGCCCCAGCTGCTCTGGCAATTCCATCCCAGCCCCTGCCCACCCTGCCAGGGAACAATTCCTGCCCAAGATCCCAAGATCCAGCCCTGCCCTCTGCCACTGGCAGCCATTCCCTGGCTCCTGGCCCTGCAGCCCTTGGCAATTGTCTCTCTCCAGCTTTCCTGGGGCTCCTTCAGGCCCTGCAAGGCCACCCTGAGCTCAGCCCAAAGCTTCTCCTGGCCAGGCTGAACAATGGCAGCTGGGCCAGCCTTTCCTGCCAGCAGAGCTGCTCCATCCCTCTGCTCATCCTGGAGCCCACTCAGGTCCCTTTGCTCTGTGGGACATTTTGGTCAGGGTCCCCATGGCCCTGTCACAGGTGCACTGTCCCTTCCCTACAGAAACTCCAGGGGAAGAAGGATTTCTCCTGAGGAGAAGACAAAGACATGGGAGGGACGTGGAGGCTGAGATTCCATCCCTGGAGTTGCCTCAGGGACCATTTGGGAAAGTCGCCAGAGGGGCAGAGACACTGCCTGGTGCTGCAAAGCCACGTTTGATCCCATTTATCCCAAAATTTAGACCCTTGTGCTTCTCAGACTCCATGAACCAGGTGTGTGTCCCACAGGAGGAGAATCCCCCTGCAGCATTCCTTCCCACCAGATCCCATTCCCACCCAGGCTGTCCCACTTTAATGTGGGCAATTCCTTCAGTTCTTCAGGCCAACCAAGCCCTAAAACCTGTGGAAATCTTTCCCCAAAAGCCCTTTGTTCCCAGTCCAGTCCTCAAGAACAAGGAGTTCACTGCATCCAATGGGAAGAGGCAGTGAATTTTCATTGCTAATAAAAAATTAGGGATGTCTTTCAATTCAGGAATTCAGGAATTCAGCCTTGTGTGCACACAAAGATTCAGGTACACGTGCAGGTGGATCCCTCTGCAGTTACACCCTCACACATGCTCAGATATAGGGGATAAAGGTAATTAATCAAACTTAATGAGAAAATAGAAATACAAACTGCCTTTACTGTCTGTAAAATCTGGTTTTTCCTTGATTTACATCAAAATTCACTATCATTTTTCAAGAGGAAATAGACCTAACAGCAACTTACCTTTGCTGTGTCTTTCCCTAAGGAGATTCAGAACACTCAGGATTTTCCAACTCCACTGGCTAATGGGATGAAACTCCCAAAAAGATCAGGGATGTCTTTAAGGAGCCTCCAGCCTGCACAAAGCTTGGAGCAGTTGCCTGTGAAATAAGTGCCTTACACTGCACGCTTTATGTTTATATTAATTAAAAGCTAAATCTAATCTCACCTGGAAAGTCAAATATTGGCTGACAGCTTGCATCAGTCATCCTGTCGGATCTGGGAATGAGCCTTTGTGCTGATTGCTGCAAGTTTAGATATTGGAAAAGAGCTTTCCTGGGGATAAACGTGGATGCAACTCCATTTTTGGTGAGCCAGAGGGGTAAAGATGAACTCTGTAAAATTATGATGATAATAATTATGATGAGAAGAATTCTTGGCTGTGAGGGTGGTGAGGACATGGCACAGAGGGCCCAGAGCAGCTGGGGCTGCCCCTGGATCCCTGGCAGTGCCCAAGGCCAGGATGGAGCTTGGAACAACCTGGGATTGTGGAATGGGATAATCTTTAAGGTCCCTTCCAACCCAAATCATTCCCTGTTTCTATGAATAAACCAGTAGCACCAGCAGGGATAAAAACAAGAATTTCCTTTGCTGATCTGGGCACAAGAGGTGAGCACTGAGTAGTCAGACTACTCAACACCCAAAATATGTCTTCTTTTCCTTTTCCTTTTCCTTTTCCTTTTCCTTTTCCTTTTCCTTTTCCTTTTCCTTTTCCTTTTCCTTTTCCTTTTCCTTTTCCTTTTCCTTTTCCTTTTCCTTTCCCTTTCCCTTTCCCTTTCCCTTTCCCTTTCCCTTTCCCTTTCCCTTTCCCTTTCCTCACTCATGAGCTGGAGCAGAAAAACTTCCTAAAAAAACCCCAGAAAACCAAACCAAACAATAAAAAAAAGGAGAATGGATGAGTGTTGACTTTCTTTATGGCAAACAGCACATGCTGACACCTCTGAGAGGCTCTGAGACACCTGAGGGAGCAGGAATTTGCTCAGGGAAATGAGATTGAAAAGAGAGAGGAAAAGAAAAAGGTTTTGGTCAGGAGCATCAGCAGCAGCTCCTGCTTTGGTGGGGACATCCAAGGAAGGGGATTATGGTGGGATTGAGGTGCAAAATGCTCCCCAAGCACTTGGGCTGGGACAGGCCTGCTGTAAAAAACACATTTTCATTTTACAGCCATTCCTACCTAAGAAATGTCATCTTTGAGGGACGGGAAGGCAGCGTGGAGCGACCCTGAAGCCACAGCACACCCCAGAGAGACAGAGATGTGCTCCTGGTGTGGCTGATCCCTGTGGGAACTCCTGCCATTGCCATGGTTACTGCTCTCCTTGCTCCTGGAGCTGTTCTGAGATGAAACCTCCCAGCACAGGGATGAGCTGCTGGCAGCATTTCCTCCTGATCCCACATTTTTCCTGGCAGGTTCCCTTGGCTTTGCCCCCAGGAGTCCAGGGAGCTGGCACAGCTTCTGTGTGCTCTGAGAACCCCAGAGGGACCTCCCTGTGCTGTGCACAGACATTCCCTGGATGATCCCAGCTGGAGAAAGTCACTTGGAGCTCTTTTATCTGGCTATGGAAATGAGACAGGAGCCTGGAAGTTCCCAAGTTCAGGAATAACTGCCAAGAACGTGGTTATTGGCAATTAATTATTACATTTATCCCTCCTTCAACCCCTCTGTTCTATCAGCTGTTCCTGGCCATGCTTGTTCCAAATGAAACCAAAGATTCCTTGAATAATCCCAGTCTGCTGCTTGTCCCCCTTTGCTCAGGGTTTGCTGGGTCTGGAGAGCAACGAGGTGGTCAAGGACAGACAGGGTGGGAATGATTAAACAGGAGGAGCAGACAAAGGGCAGGAAAACTGGAAGCCTTAACATTAGTCTGAAACGATTGCAAAGCAAAATGCTCCTGAGCTCATGGAATAATAGAATAATGGGATTCTTGTGTGGGAAGGGATCACCCATGTTTTGGAGGTGTGCTAGTTTTGTATTAATTGGTTTGTAGTGAAGAGAGAAAAACGTTAGGTATAGAAGTGATTTGTGATATCTCACAACAAAACATAAATAAATAGTTCTAATAAGTGAAAAAAACATTTAGCCAACATTAAACCCACTACATTCAATTAGTATATTAGCTGAAAAAATTCAAATTAGTGAACCAGAACCACTACAGGACGCCTTCTCCCACCTAAATGATTCTGTGATGCTTCTGGACAGCAGAAGACTGTTGTTAATAATGATCTCCCCTAGACATTTCCTTCCAGAGGAGTTTTCAGTGCACTTGATCCCTTTTTCTTGGAATATGGATCCAATATTCCTCTGTTTCCCTCCATCACCTACAATAAACAAATGTGGTACTTTGGATGCCTTGCCCTGTTGAGGCTGGGTTTCCTTTTTAACTGAGGAAACCCAGGGTTTTTTTGGGATTTTTTTGGGGGGATTGTTTATTTCTTATGGAACTGTTCTTCCATCTCCTGAGATCTTTGACTGTTGAGTCAAACCATTGGGGTATTTTGGTTTCCTGAGAGATCCTGAGACTTCATTTAGTGTTACAGTCTGATCACCTGTAATGACACTTTGGGTTTGTTTGTCCCCCATCTTTTCCCATAGGATCAGAGGAACAGCTGCTCTGCTGCAATGTTGGCTGCTGACCAGAGGGATCCTGACAGGCTGCCCCCAAAATATTCATGTCTGGTAAAAACCTGCCTCTAAATGTTCCAATAACTCCATGGCTGAAGGTCACAGACCACACTGGGATGCTCTGTCCTTAATTCCTGGTGGAGAGGGACACCTGGGATGGTTCTTTGTGGCTGAAGAAAAATCCCAGAGTCCCAGAATCACCTGGAGACTTTTGTGTTCATCCAGCATCAGCCCAAAGCCTGTCCCCAAGGGCCACATCCAGACTCCTCTGGGACAATTCCAGGGACTCCAAACCTCCCTGGGCAGCTCATCCCAAGGCCTGAACACTCTGTGAGAGAAAATTTGTTTCTAATCCCTAATATGAGCCTCCCCTGGTGCAATTTGAGGCTATTTCCTCGCCTCCTTTCGCTTGGGACACGGCAGAAGAGACCTGGCTGTGCCCTCTGGTCAGGGAGTGGTGGAGAGAAATGATGTCCTGCCAAGAAAAGCTTTGCTGTCTCAGCCCAGGCTGCAGGGATGGAGAAATCCGAGGCAGGAGGAGGCTGCAGTGCCCAGCTTTGTTGCCATGGTTTTATGTGTTGCTGTTGCAAAAGCTTCAGGGGATAAATGAGGGTGTTGGCTGCACAGAGCCTTGAACTGAAAATGCAAACACGGATATTTCTGGCTGGGAAGAGCAGATGTGACACCTGAAATGCTCAGGTGTGTGTGTCCCTCAGAGGGGAAGAGAAACTTGAGGTGTCCACGCTGATCCCTTTGAAATATTGGGGGGTTCCCCATTCTTTCAGCTGTAATGAAAATATTAGTGCTGCAGCTGAATTGCAAAAGCCTGTGGGTACCTGAGGGCAATATCTGCTCAAAACATCAAGAAAGGCAAAGTAAATGATTGGCAGCAGCAATGGCTGGGGGTTTTGGGGGG